ATGAATGTCCATTTTGTATCTGTGTATTCAAAGTGGTTAGGATAGATATATAGTTACATTCTCTTAATGAATACAGGGATTTGTTCTAATGGTGTTTATAAATAGGTTATCATGTTCGAATCTCGTACAGCAATTAACCACTAGGAAGAATGTATGCAATGTGTTAATTATTGAAACTGTCCTAACAATTTGATTTGAAACTGTCTCATTGCTATTTGTTTCTCAATAAAATTATGGAAAAAAATTTTTAAAAATTAAAAAAAAAAACCTGTTAAATTAAAATGGCAGGGAGGCCAATGTTCCTTTCTCATTTAATTTCGCAGGTTATAATCTGGCCCAACATGTAGCCACTTACTTGAACAGCCCAGCCCGGTGAAAGACGTAGAGGTCATTCTGGAGTGTGCAATCCTCAAAGGGGATGACCTTCACAAAGTTCTGGATGAGGACAAACTCAGGGGTGAGTTGGGGCACAGAAATGATGCAGTAGTGCTTGTCCTTGTGTGAGCAAAAGCCAGGACACATGAGAAACACAAAAAGCATGTATTATTAAACACATTCCTGCTCTAAGACATAAAAGAAAACAGAAATGAAATTTGGGGGAACCATTCAGACTGCTTCAAAGTTCAAGGATGTCTAAGGACACCTAAGGATGTGACCTTGCTTTTCTAGCACAGGTGTACAGTGGGCTACAGCTAGGTACCCATCACTTAGCACAGATAAACAGGCAAGTGCTGGTTATAGTACTATGTAAAAATGTAAATATGAGATGACAACCTGTATAAGAATGATACAATAAGACATTATATAGCTCTTGCACTCTTGTGCTCTGTTCTGTACCACGCTGCCTGTGCTTATTGCAGATGTCTTGCACATGTTCATTCTTTAACCTGGGGACCTCACCTGCAAAAATCTCCCTTGAGTTGCCTGAGCAGCTCAAAAATGTATGTACAAGATTCTCAGTTAGCTTCCTATATCTTCAAAAGTCATTATACAAAATTCAGGGAGATGCAACTATAAGATGGAGGAAAAAATCTGTTGAGTTTGACTGAACACGGAATAAGTGAACATTAGAAACAGTGGTATCCATTTGGGATAGCTCTTTGATGGAGATGGCTTTTCAAGCTAAGAATACTTGTTCTTGGGAATTCACAGGGCCAAGGAAGCAGCATGGTATCCTTACCTTTACATTGTGGTGGCAGGAAAACATGTCAGGCCCTCTGGTTCTAAAATGCTATGATTACACACAGTCTGGGTTGTGAAGCTGCACCACAAGTTTAGGCTATACGAACAGGTGGGTGCAAATGTTCTCAAAGGTTTCTTCCAGACTGCACTTCCTGCCCTCCTGACCTGCACTGTCCTATCTGGTATTTATGGTCACATCCAATGGATGAGCATTTGGAACGTGGCTACTGATGGAACAATTGAATTTTTAACTTTTCTTTTGAATTTAAAACTGGTGCTAGGGCTGGCCAGATAGCTCAGCAGATTAAAGCATCTGCTTAGGCAGATGCAGGGACTGGGGCTTGATCACCAGCCTGCCATGGCAGTCCCACCTTCAGGGACATGCTGAGATGGCAAATGAGACTGGGTGTGGTGGTGTACGCCTATAATCCCAGCACTTGGGAGGCTCAAATTAGGAGGATCATTACAAGTCCAATCTGCGTAGTGAGACCCTGTAGACTCTGCACTATATACATATAAAAAAAGCAATAAAAACTGTTGCTCAGCTCCATTTATTAGAAAAGTTTTATGTGTGATCAGATTAGAAGAGTTGATTTGAAGGCATTTTAGAATTTGCTCATCCCAATGTGAGTACATGAATTTCCTCTTCCAACTGTAGATTTTATGAGACTCACATCTAGATCAAGTATTTCTGATCAAAATGCAGTACTTATAATGAGAAGTGCTATAACAAAATAAACATTTGCTTTCAAAAGCCTTGTGTGCGAAAAAGAATGTAAACCAGCTCATTAATAATTTGTCACGTTGAATGCATGTTGAAATGGGAAGTTCGGAGATGTAAAGAGACGAAGAGGTTATTCATGTGGAGGCGGCTGGCCCTTTCACCTGGTGCTCATGCAGCTGAGGAATCTCCAGGAATGGCTGCCAGGTCTGCATCACGCATCTGCAGTTGGGTAGCTCTGGGCCGCTTCTGTTCCCCGAAGCCACTTGACCCTCTGCCAGGTCCCTGCAGAAGCAGCCTGCTCTTCCCAGAGCTAATTTGTCCCTGTGGGACCTCACTTCCCCTTGAAAGCTGTGAAGGCATCACTTGTGCTAATCCAGAGCCCTGGGGATGTGTGTGCAACCCAAAGGGAGTGGATCATTATTCGACTTTATCTTCCTTCTTTCCAGCAAAATAACACTGCTTCGTTTGGGAAGCTGTAGAGTCGGGTTGCAAACTACTCAAGCTGAAAATAAGGCTTGGGGGCCAAGGCTCCGTGGGCTTCCTCCAGGAGGGGAGGTTAACTATAATGAGTTGCTTTAAGTTGGACATGACAGATTAAGGATAAAGTAATGAAAGTATTTTGTTCCTGTTTCCCCATAGTTCAAAATCAAATAGGATTTAAAAAGTAAACAGGTCCTCTGCTGCTTTGGCTGTTATTTTATAATGTTAAAGATTTGCCTTGCTACAGGCTTTAAAATGAGAATTAAACTGAGTGAAATTTCTTTGAGGCAAATTAGCAGAAAGCAGCTTTGTAAATTCTCTGTTCAGGGTGATCTGTATTGCTTTATGAGCTTCTGAAATGCCTCAAAATTAATTCAAAGAAATTACTGTAGCGAATACATTGCCTTATTATCAGGCTTCATTATATTTAAAAAATGAGGAAATAAAGCCTAATATCACATGTTCTTTAGACAACATAATGAAATTGTATTTATTTCTGCCTCAGTAGAAGGGTACAAGGAAATAAAAACAATAGACATTTGGCTTCAAATTGATCACCTGAAGAATGGCGACTGCAGGAAAAGGCATCAGAGAAACCTAGTTTGTCTCACAGTTGTCCTCCCTCCCCACTTTCTTTCTCCCAGCAATGTGAGAAGAGGCAGGTTAGGAGCTGCACCCTGACCACACTGAGCCCTCGGGAGGAAAAGATCAGGTCACCTCCAGATGGGCCATGTGTTTCCACATAGGTGTGACCAGTCCCTTCCACACACTACCTGCATCAGGTCAGGCCCAGGAACAAGCGCAGAAGCCATCTCCTAGCTCACTCCTTCTTCATGGCTGAAAGCCAGGGGCGATTTTGGAAAATGAGGTCAGTGTAAAGTGTCAGTCACACAATACTGTCAGTCATGCTAGCGCCATATCTGACATTTTCTTATACTACAATCCATGATGTGAGGCTAATAAAATACCAGTAAAGCTCTCTCTACAAGGAATTATGCAGTGAAAGAAAGCTTAGAGAGTATGACTTAAGAATTATTGAACACTTGGGGTATAACTATGAATGTGCATTTTGTATCTGTGTATTCAGAGTGGTTGGGATGGATATATAGTTGCATTCTCTTAATGAATAGAATGATTTTTTTCATTTAATGGTGTTTGTAAATAGGATCACAAGTCTGCATCTTGTACAGCAATTAACCACTAAGAAGAATATATGCAGTGTATTATTTGTTGAAACTCTACTTCCGATTTGATTTGAAACTGTCTCATTGCTATATGTTTATCAATAAAACTTTGAAAAGAAAAAAAAAGAATTATTGAACACTACAATAATTTTTATGTGTAAAAGTTCCTAAACTTACTCTCAGAACACATAAGCAGTTTAAACCTCAATACTCATAGCACTATAAATGCGGATGTAATGAATACAAAATTTTACTTTTTTTTGGTCTTTTTGAGACAGAATTTCACTATGCAGTTCAGGCTGGACTTAAGCTTACTTTGTAGCTCAGGCTGGCCTCAAACTCCCAGCAACCCTCTTACTTCTGCCTCCCTAGGGCTGGGATGACAGGCATATTCCACCATGCCAAGCTTAGAATTTTACTTTTCTGTAATGTATCTAAACTACAAAATCAATGGAAATACCTAATTTCAGCATGTACTTACAGGAAAGAGACTGAAAACAAAATTCATAAAATCCAACGACCTGTAAATAAGACAGGACACACTGTCAGTGACCTACACACAAACAGAGCAGGGGGGAACATCCGAGGAGATCTAT